AAAATATTATTATGTTAGGAGATTTTAATGGAAGGGTTGGGGTGAAGAGGTCTGGTTATGAAAGGATATTAGGAACGTTTGGCGATGAAAGAATAAATGAGAATGGTGAAGAGCTCCTCACCGTATGTGTGGAAAAGAATCTTTTTGTGGCGAACACTTTCTTTCGCCATAAGAGGATTCACATGTATACATGGGAAAGAGGGGATGATAGAAGCATGATAGATTTTATAATTGTGGATGAAAGAATGAGGAGCGCAGTGGTAGATACAAGGGTTTACCGGGGGTCCAACGTAGGGACGGATCATTACTTGGTCTTATGCCGAATTAATGGTCTATTCAGACGTTGGCGGCATCGCACATCGGTGTCTACCACTGCGTTACAGCGTATAAGAATAGAGAGGTTACAAGATGAAGGTGTGAAAGAGAAGTATAAATGCAGATTGAGGGAAAATATAAGTAGGTTGAATGAATTATGTATGAATGATTTAGAATTGAAGAATGTATGGAATAATATTAAGAAAGTTTTGGTGGATGCAGCCACCGAAGTATGCGGTGTAAGTAAGAGAACGAATGAAAGGAAAAGTAATACGTTGTGGTGGGATGATGAGGTACGGATGGAAGTTGAAGCAAAGAAGAGAGCATGGCTAGATTTACTAGCAACTAAAGCTGGTAATTCTGGCGGTATGAATGATGATATTGAAAGAAAAAAGGCAGACTTTAGACGTATAAATAAGAGAGTAAAAGAAGTTGTTGAAAGGAAAAAGCAAGAAAGGATAGATAAGAATGATAGAAGGATATCTGATAACTTCCAGGCAAATATTAAAATGTTCTGGAAGCTCGTAAGAACTGCCAGGGGAAATTCAAAACAGCCTAGAATAAATGCTATACGAGACGAGAATGGCTGCATGCTGAATGATGAAGTTTCGAATTTAAAGAGATGGAAGGAATACTTTGAAAGCGTGTTTAAGAGTGAAGAGTCGTCTGGAATAAGTGAAATAGAAATTCCGGAAGAAGTGGAGAGAGGTAGGGAGATAAGTGTAGATGAAATAATGAAAGCAATGAAAAGCATGAAAGCAGGTAAGGCAGCCGGATATGATAGAGTATCACTCGAAATGCTAAGGGCTGGTGATGGTGTGGTGACAGGCCTGCTGCACACCTTGTTTAATTTATGTTGGGAACTGAAACGGGTACCGGAAGACTGGTGCAAAGCCGTTATAGTCCCAATATATAAGGGAAAGGGGTCGCAGCAGGACTGTAAAAACTACCGTGGTATCAGCTTGCTTAGCATTGTGGGTAAACTGTATGCTAAGGTGTTAATTGAAAGAGTTATGGAAGAAACTGATGGAAAAATTTGGGATGTGCAAGCTGGATTTAGAAAGGGGATGGGGTGTACGGATCAAGTCTTTTCCATGCGCATGATAGCGGAGAAGTTTTTGGCTAAAAACCAGAAAGTTTTTTGTGCGTTCATGGACTTGGAAAAGGCTTATGACAGAGTGGACAGGAATGTGTTATGGCAAACACTGAACTCATTTGGGTTGAGCGCTGGCTTGATACAGGCATTAAGATCTCTTTATAGGGACTCTAGTGCTTGTGTCAGGATCAACGGGGTCTACTCGGACTGGTTTGGCATTCATAAAGGTGTCAGACAGGGATGTGTGGCTTCCCCGTGGCTGTTTAACTTATTTATGGACAGTTGTTTGCAAACTTTGAAAGTTGAAGAATGTGGGTTGAGAATGGGTGAGTCAACCGTCAAATGCCTTTTGTACGCCGATGATCAAGTCATATTTGCATCGTCGGCGGCCGAGTTGCAAATGATGGTTACTTTAATGAATTGGCCATTGAAAGAAAGGGGTATGAAAGTGAACGCAAGTAAGACGAAAGTGATGGTTTTTGAAAGAGAAGAAAGTAAAACTTTATGTGAAATAAGAATAGAAGGGGAGTTGATTGAGCAAGTGGATGAATTTGTATATTTGGGATGTTTATTTAGCAGGGATGGTAGATATGATAAGGATATAGAACGACGAGTGAACGCAGGAAATAGAGTGAATGGGGCTCTACACGCTATTATGAGGAGTCAGAATGTGTCAACTAAGGCACGTATGGCAATTCATAATGCTGTGTTAGTCCCTACTTTAATGTATGGTAGTGAAAGTTGGGTCTGGCAGAAGAAGCATGAGAGTAGAATAAATGCTGTAGAAATGCGTTCCTTAAGGAGTATGCTAGGGCTGAATCTGAATGACAGGGTGAGAAATAGTGTGATAAGAGAAAAGTGTGGTCTGCAATATGACGTTGTGACAAGGATTAAGAAAGGAATGCTTCGGTGGTTTGGTCATGTAGAAAGAATGAACGAGGAAAGAGTGACAAAGCAAATTTATGTTGCGGAAGTGAACGGCAGGGTCGGGAAGGGACGCCCTAGACGAAGGTTTATCGACCAAATCGGCGATACATTAAAAATGGGCCAGATTAGGAGTACCCATAACCGACGAGCGTGTATGCGTAGATATATGGATGTAAAAAAGGCGAGAGAGGTGTGTCAGGATCGCGCCAAATGGAAGTCCGTAGTCTCTGCCTACCCCTCTGGGTGACAGGCGTGAGTGTTTATGTATGTATATTCTGTGAGAGCGTGGTCCTTCCCCGGTCGAGCCCACCCATTCGTGCTACAAACATACTATTAATATAGCTGCAGCAAGGCTCTACCACGTATAAAAAAACTTTCCATAGATATTTTAAGTTAATGTTTTAAATATGACAATCTGCTTCTAATATGTATTCGAACAGCAATCATTAAAAAAATTCATACTGATTACACATGTACAACTATCAAATGTAATATAAAATGTTATTTACGTATTGTACTGAGCATCCAAAAGTACTCAGGAGATGAACTCAATCGATTCGATACGGTTAGCAAGCATGATTCGATTATCAGAGGCCAGAGGGTCGCAAGGACCGATATAAAAAGAATAAATACGGATTTATTATCCCCTAAAGAGCTCGCTTAGTGCAAGGTGTGAACGCGTGATGTATTATTTATCCCGGGTAGTGCTTACCCCTGCGGCCGGTAAATTTGATTTGAACGCGTACCAAAACAAAACGTGTCGCGGTTGCAAAGGGTTAAGATGAATATAAATAAAAAGAAAGATGCTGGTTGCAGTTGATGTAACAAAAACTATCTTGTTTCATAAATCAAAAGAAATACATGTTAAATTTAAATGCGTAATAAAATCATAAGAAATCTAATTAAGATAGAAGAGAGGTTATGGTTATATTCTAAATGTATACTTGGAAACATATTTTTAGGCTCCATAAGTATGATCCGCCTTCGCTATAATACTTACATTCTTTCTGCTTTATACTGCATACTGTTCAATCCCTCTACTCGTCGACACCTGTAACGCCGTTTTGAGTTATTTCCGAATGTCGCGGTCATCTTCGTTGCACTGACAATCTTCCTCTTTGTACTCCAGTTCGTTCCATATTATATTTCATATTATTTATAACGAATATATTGAATGATTTTTGTTTATATTTATTTTTATTTATTTTATTTAAAAACTTAAACTTAAGGTAAAGGGTACATAGGGCGGACTTAATGCCATGTGGCATTATCTGCCAGTCAACCCTGGGTGCCAAAGACAATTAATATTATTGTATTGTTTTTTTTTTTGTATTAGTAACTCATTAATTTATCTGGCTGACTAATATTAAGGTGGATCACAAGAGGGCTGGTTCTGTGCTCGCTGAAATGCAAAGTATTGTCCTACAACGAGGAAACGCAGCCAGCCTTCTTGTAACTTTGCCACGAGGAATACGACTATTTGATAATTTCAGTCTTTTTTATTGTCATCAATATCGTACATTTATTATGTTATGCAAATAAATAATTAAGATATTAGAATAACTTTATATATTCGTAATTAATAACGGAACAGAAAAGAATTAGAAATATTGAAAATTTATGATAAAAATATTGTCTAACATAAATAATTAAGAAAATGTTAATCCATAACCAAAATTCATTGTTTTTTCATTGTTCACAAACTAAGTTACAATCCACCGAATGGTAAGTGGTTTCTGGAGTCAATGGACACCTGCAACTTCTTGAAACACAGAAGACTACAGATGCGTTGTCACCTCTGAGGAATCCTCAGAGGTGACAACACATTGCATGATTTGATTTCCTCACGTGGCAGAGCCATGCTGCAGCTATATTAGTAGTATAGTTGTAGCACGAATGGGTCGGCTCGATCGGGGAAGGACCACGCTATGTTTCATATGGTGAGTGTAGAGAACCAGAGACCCTTTTTACTGGAAAAGAGGCATTCCATCTTAGTCCTCACGGGTGACAACGCATCTGAATTTTGATTCGCAAACGAGGATAGATGTAGATGTCTATGGGCCACAGCAAACACGATCAGGTGGACTGTGTGCTCGTTTGTCACCTTTATTATAAAAAAAAAAGATGGAATGCCTCAAAGCCTGTAATTATACTGGCCCTCTATATTATTCGGATCGGAGCACAGCAAAGTAAGCACTGCTATTTGGCGGCAGAAATGACGGTGGTTCTTACCCAGACGGGGTCCTAGAATTACTACAAAAAAAGAGTCCAACCGCTAGTAGTAAGTATCGTACGTGGTAGAGTCATGCTGCAGCTATATTATAGTTGTAGCACGAATGGATCGGCTCGACCGGGGAAGGACCACGCTCTCACAGAATACCAGCGTAAAATAGCAGCTTAGTGCTGCTGTGTTTTGAATAGTGAGTGTAGAGAACTGGAGACCTCTTTCTCCGGAATCGAGGCATTCCATCTTAGTCCTCAGGGGCATTGACAACGCATCTGTATTTTGATTCTTAATAGAGGAAGAAGTCTATGGGCCACAGCATCCACTTACCATCAGGTGGACTGTGTGCTCGTTTGTCACCGTTATTCTATAAAAAAAAATAGTAAAGAGAGCTTTTAATTGTTTTTACATTTTACTTTATTTTTTGTTAGATTCACAATGAAGAGCTGGCTGGAGACAGCCGGCAGCATGGAGGATGGACCGTTGCCTTGTATGCTCGCTGAGCCAAGGGAAGCTCTATTGCCTATCACTGGAAGAGAGAATTTAGCTCCAAGAAAACGGTATTAAAGAAAATAATTCATAAAATTATTTCATGTCACATTTTATGTCATGTCGCGACGAATAATGTCATCAAATCATATTTTCATACTCATCATCATATTTTTTAACTTCGTTTTACGGCACGACGTAAAAGCGTCTTTTTTCGTCGCCTTATTCATTATATTATATTGTTTGCCTGTTTTAGTAATAAATACCTAAAATTACGGCTTTTAAGTTGATTTTCCGGGGCGCACTACACATGATCTTTATCACAAGATAATGAGACATTTTTATATTTTGTTTTATATTTTAATATATGACTGAACAGCAATAATAATTATAATATTTCTGCTTTTTCATTTCTTATAATTTCTCAAATTAATTTCAATAGACAACTGACAATAGACAATTGGCGATGACTTCTGCCATGAACTTTAAAATTTTATTAGAATGAACAGATAGCCGTGTAGTGGCGGTCAAGAATATCCACTACCCCATATCTTCCCGTGGGTGTCGTAAAAGGCGACAAAGGGAAACAGGCAGGAGATGGGCAGCAGCATCTTCCTGATAGTAGCCGAAATTACAATAAAAAAAAACTTCGGTTGCCAACCCGCTCGCCAAGCGTGGCAACTATGGCAAATACCCCCCTATGAAGAGAGTAACAAAGAGACGGCCCCCAGTCGCTGGCGGCCCCGCTATTCCTGGCTACGTTGGCGACCATGGTAACGGCGGGGCAGGGGGTGCTAAGAATCTCCGGTGGAGGTTCGGATACCACCTAAGATGACTCGACCTGGCAACGTATACGCACGCACCCTGAGGACTGACGAGAAGATCGTGGAGCTGGAAGAAGAGATAGACAAGTTATGCTGGCATATTATAGGGTTATCCAAAGTCCGAAGAGAGGGGGAGGACACGGTAATCCTCGAATTCGGCAACTTGCTCTATCACCGGGAGGGCGACTATCTGTCCCAAGGAGGTGTCGGATTTATCGTCCACAAGTCTCTCGTTTTTAAATAAAACTAATTTTACGGATTTTATCGCGTATATTAATCTATTTTTATATTCCCGACGTTTCGGGTGCTTTCCAGCACCCGTGGTCACGGGGGTCTGAATATACGCGATAAAATCCGTAAAATTAGTTTTATTTAAAAATGTGTAGTGTTCGCGTAAATATAAGAAATCATTAAGTCTCTCGTTAACAACGTTGTAAAGATCGAGAGTGTGTCGACGAGGGTTGCGTACCTTATACTCAGAATCACCAAACGATATTCGCTGAAGGTCATACAGGTTTACGCACCAACTTCGGCACACCCCGATGAGGAGGTGGAGGAAATGTATGAGGATATCTCTAGAGCCATGCATTCCTCCAAAACCCAATATACGGTGTTATTGGAGACTTCAATGCAAAACTAGGCACAAGAGAGAACGTTGACCTGAAAGTAGGGAAATTTGGAATAGGGCAACGGAACCCAAGGGGCCAGCAGCTGGCCGACTTCATGGAGAAAGAGGGACTCTTTATGATGAACTCTTTCTTCTAGAAGTGGCCCCACAAGAAGTGGACCTGGTCGAGCCCCGATGATTCGACAAAATATGAAATTGACTTCATTATGACGACCAGACGACAACTGTTCAGTGATGTCTCCGTGATCGCGAGGGTGAAAACTGGTAGCGATCACCGAATGGTTAGAGGCACACTGAACCTAAACGTTAAGTTGGAGAGGTCTCGTCTAATGAAGTCAACGCTCCGTTCCCCTTATGCTCTGTTCCAAAGTCCTGAAACCTTTCAGCTCGAGTTACAAAACCGTTTTCAATGCCTAGAAGACTGCAATGAAGTGGACGATATGAATGACAAGCTCGTGGAAACTGTCCATGCGGTCGAAGCAAAGCTCTGCAAGACCCGCCGCAGAAGAACACAAAAACTCTCCGATCACATTCTTAATCTGATGGCTGTTAGACGGGAGATGAAGCTACATTCTTCAACAGATTTGACAGCATACAGGCAACTGAACAGACAGATCTCCAAATGCATGCGGCGGGACTTACGCAACTTCAATACAGCTCGTATTGAAGAAGCGATCGAGCGGAACCAAGGCTCCAAAGTCTTTGCCAGAGATCTGTCTACCAGAAAGAGCCAACGGTCAAAGCTGAGGACCGAGTGTGGCACCATCGTTTCCGGGGCAACTGAGATTTTGAGTGAGATTGAGAGGTTCTATGGGCAGCTGTACACGTCATCGTTGGAGTCACACGCAAATGTGAGTAACGATCCAAGAGCGAGTCTTATCCGACACTATTCCGAAGATATCCCGGACGTCAGTCTGAGCGAGATTAGAATGGCTCTCCAGCATCTTAAAAACGGCAAGGCCCCAGGCGCGAATGGAATTACAGCGGAGCTTCTGACAGTGGGTGGAAAACCGGTACTTGAAGTCCTTCAGAAGCTCTTTAATTCCGTCCTCCATGGTGGCATTACACCGGAGGCGTGGAGCAGAAGTGCGGTGGTCTTGTTCTTCAAGAAAGGCGACAACGCTCTCTTGAAGAACTACAGACCGATTTCCCTTCTGAGCCGCGTCTACGTGCTGTTTTCGAGAGTCATTACGAATCGTCTCGCGCGCAGAGTTGACGACATCCAGCCTCCTGAACAAGCCGGTTTCCGAAAAGGCTTTAGCACCATAGACCACATACATACTTTTCGGCAAATTGTACAAAAGTCAGAGGAGTACAATTTGCCACTATGTCTGGCGTATGTGGACTATGAGAAAGCCTTTGATTTCGTCGAAATTTGGGCGGTGCTGCAGTCCCTTAAGCGGTGCCAAGTTGACTGTCGGTATATCGAAGTGCTGAAGTGCATGTACAGTAGGGCTACGATAGCTATCCAAGTACAGAACCAGAGTACGAAACCTTTCAATTGCAGAGAGGTGTAAGACAGGGTGACGTTATATCCCCGAAACTCTTCACCGCTGCATTGGAAGACGTTCTTCAAGCTTCTGGACTGGAAAGGATACGGTTTTCTTTTTTATTTTAGAATCGGGTGACAAACGAGCACACAGTCCACCTGATGGTAAGTGGTTACTATGACCCATAGACATCTACATCTATCCTCAATAAAGACTCAAGATGCAGATGCGTTGTCACCCGTGAGGACTAAGATGGTATGCCTCTTTGCCAGTAAAAAGGGTCTCCCGTTCTCTACACTCACCATACGAAACACAGCAGCGTTAAGCTGCTATTTTACGCTGATTTTCTGTGAGAGCGTGGTCCTTCCCCGGTCGAGCCGACCCATGCGTGCTACAACCATAATATAGCTGCAGCATGGCTCTACCACGTTTAAAATTAACATCAATGGCGAGTACATCACTCACCTTCGATTTGCCGACGATATAGTCCTTATGGCAGAATCGCTGGAGGATCTAAGCACCATGCTCAATGACTAGGATACTGGATAGGTCTTAAGATGAACATGGACAAAACAAAGATCATATTCAATGTCCATGTCACACCTATGCCGGTAGTTGTTGGGAGCACTAAGCTCGAAGTTGTTGACGAGTATGTTTACCTGGGACAAATAGTCCGACTAGGTAAGTCCAACTTCGACCGAGAGGTCAATCGACGGATTCAACTCGGCTGGGCAGCGTTCGGGAAACTACGACACATCTTCTCGTCAGACATTCCTCAAAACCTTAAAACGAAATTGTACAACCAGTGCGTGTTGCCAGTGATGACTTACGGATCTGAGACGTGGTCCTTCACTGCTGGCCGTATGAGGAAGCTCAAGGTCGCTCAGCGAGCTATGGAGAGGGCTATGCTCGGAGTTTCTCTGCGTGATAAACTTAGAAATTAGAATATCCGCAGTAGAAACAGAGTGACCGACATAGCCCAACGGATTAGTAAGCTGAAGTGGCAGTGGGTAGGCCATATAGCTCGAAGAACCGACAACCGATGGGGAAGAAAGGTTCTTGAGTGGCAGCCTCGTACCGGTAGGCGAAGTGTAGGGCGACCCCCCACGAGATGGAGTGACGACCTGGTAAGACATGCAGGAAGTCGATGGATGCAGGTGGCTCAGGACCGTGCTTTGTGGCATTCCTTAGGGGAGGTCTATGTTCAGCAGTGGATTTATGAAAGGCTGTAGTGATGATGATGATGATAATGAACAGACAGGTATCTAATAATGATAACTTCAACGTAATTAAATAATATTTCAATGTCTGTGGAAACTCTTTTCTCATTTTTAGCAGAATAACGATCGAATTTGATACTGCTCATGGTCACTGACCTGTGTTTTTAAAAATCTGTAATCACTATAAACCTGATTTTTTGGATTTGTCCCAAGCGACGACCATAGGTGATAGATATTTGTGTTATCCTATAAGGGTGAAAATTATGGTGATATTAATCTTAGATAGTCATGGAATCATACTAAAATTGTTTTCTATGCTGTTTGAATCTACTATAAAAAAAAAAAACTGCCCTACATTAGGAACTTCGGATGTATCGTAGAAAAGATTTACAACAAGTTACCTGAAGAATGTTAAATTATTATTATTGTCTTTAATTTCTATATTATATTATTGTTAAAAATATTGCCTCACTTTTTAAATAAAGAATAGAATGGTTCGCAATAAAATAAATTTGATATTTTTCACATATTTAGAGACCGAACATTAGAACCATGCGCCTTATCAGAAGAAGCGTATCTCTCCAGTGGAACGGGATCTCCTTGTGCTGGCCTTTCTCGAGAGGAGCGGAGGAGACGACGTCGCGCCACACTTAAGTACAGGACAGCACATGCAACCAGAGAAAGAATACGAGTAGAGGCATTCAACGCTGCATTTGCATCGCTTAGACGCCTCCTACCAACCTTGCCACCGGATAAAAAGTTATCAAAAATTGAAATTTTAAGGCTTGCAATATGTTACATAGCGTATTTAAATCATGTGCTAGATGCGTAAATAATTATAACTATTTAAACACTTACTTATTTGTAAAATAATGTTTTTTAATGATTTCTATAAAAATTGATTTAATTTATTTGTTAATTTTTAACTGGCTTAATTTTAATAAAATAAAAACGCGTTTAATTTTTTCTTTTTTAATTCGCGATGTTTCGGGCACTTTACACAACCCAGGTCACGGAGGGGAGAGGAGGGGGATGGGGGCTGATGTTTGACATTTGTTTAAATGCGATGAAATCCGTTAAATTAATTTTATTCTAGGTGTATTATTCGAGTAAATATAAGAAATCATTAAATCGATGATAGTTGTTTTAAACTAGATAATGCTTTAGAGTTCACCAATACGATCTCTTCTCTGTCAATTTAGCTTCTCTGTGTGTAAAAACTTATAGTCAATATTTCATATTTATAATTCAAATATGAATATGCAGATGCATTCAACAAGAAGTATTATGTCAAATATTATGTGTACATTAATATAATGTGATGTATGTAATCGATGCGCTTTAGCGATCGAACGTGGGTTCTCGCGCCACAGTCGTGATGAGACACAACCTCTGTCCTCATTCTCACGTCTCGTGTATTCATATGCCACCACTATTGGGTGACAAACGAGCACACAGTCCCTTTCATGGTAAGTGGATGCTGTGGCTCATAAACACTGTCATCTAGCTATCCTTAATTAAATATCAAATGCAGATGCGTTGTCACCCCTGAGGACTAAAATAGGATGCCTCGTTTCCAGTAAAAAAGGATCTTCGGTTCTTTACACTCACCATACGAAACGAAGCAGCATTATGCTCCTATCTCAAGCTAGTGTTCTGTGAGAACGTGATTCTTATTCAGTCGACCCGACCCATTCGTATAACAACCACAATGTAGCTGCAGCATGACCCTACCACGTATAAATTTGAGAAGCGAAACCAGTAAACAACGTCTAGACTCTAGAGTATTTAGAGGTCTCGATTTCTGTTCACACACAAACCTACTGGTTTTATCCCAATGAAACATAAAAAAGTTTTACACTTTCAGAGTTTTGAACTTTTCGATTAAACACCGTTTTGGATTAATACAATTATGTAAAAATATGTTAAGTGTAAAAAGGTTGTGTATATTAGTTTGATAATATATGTCTGTAAATATTTTTAGCCATCATTAAATCAATGTCTTCCTTTTTGTGAATTTCATGTTTTAGTTTAAATGAAAATAAACTTATTCAACTCTTACAATGTCTATATTTACAAATAAAGCGTATTACACATTTATGAAACAATTTAAAAACTATTCAGAAAGAGTTATTGTATACATGTCTGTTGTAGAAAATACATAAAAATATAATATAATATATCAGTATAAAACATATATACCAAAACTATACACTACTACACTACATCAAGTACTTGGTTCACTGTTATTGTTTATTTACAAACAGTATAATACAGTAAATTAATTAAAAAAATACAGTGAAATCGTACATAATATGTCAATCTTATAATCAATGATTATTGAGTTTCACCAGATAAAAGCAACTGTAGGTATGAATATAAAACCTTATTATGTACTGAAATAATTAAAAATTTTGTACATCCGACTTCAATATAAATTATTAAGTATAACTCAAAAACTATTGGTCAGACCTTGATCAAATTTATATGGAACCACATGAGAAGCACCAGCTTTCAAATAAAAAAAGAAACATCAAAATTGGTTCATCCAGAAAAAAGTTATGAGGTAACACATATAAAAAAATGCAGTCAAATTGAGTACCTCTCATTTTTGAAGTCGGTAGAAAACAGGCTGTTTGCCCAAATTTTGTAAAATTATAACATGGCCATCATCATTTCTCTGGTATTACAACATTACATTTATATAAATAAGTTAAGGTTTAACACAGTTTATTCCTAAAATTTAATAAAAGGATAGAAACAGTTATTTATTTATAAAGTCATTGAGATAACTTAAAAACACCGGATAGAATACCATTCCATGCAAGAATCCTAATATCACTAAACTAAAAAGCATCCTGAAGAAGAACACTTCAATAACTTCTGTATATGAAAAAGCTAAAACTATAATAGGAATGTTAGTTAATGTTATTCCGGTAATAATTGTAGCGCCTACTTTCTTGATTGCATGTGCAACTCTTTCGTTTGGAGGACATTTACTGGTTGCGAATGCGTAAGCGATATGACTGCAAAACTCAACAGATATACCAATAGATACAATCAAATTAACACACGATATGGCATTAAGAGGAATATCCCAAATGTACATAACACCCATCATATTTACAACCACCATTATCGACGTAAACATAACGGTACCCGTTGTCAGAACATTAAGACCTGATGCCAGTAAATTTATTACCAAAGCTCCTATTAAACAATAACCTAACGACGTGAACGTGTATGGCCACATATACAAATACTGTTCGTAATATACGTAAAACACAGAGTAGGGAAATACTTCTACGTCCAAGCCCGTGTGTTTCTTTATAGATGCGGTTATGTTCTCAGCCACTTCGTACCCGTATTTAACAGCAGATATATAGTCTTGAGAGGTACCTAAAGCGACATGATAAGCCATAAAACTGCTATCGTAAACAGTGACACGGCCTTCTGAATCTAGCAAGTAATTCACGCTACTGAAATAACTAGCGAGACCTCCTTTGTTGCATGAATCCGTTGGTGCATCCTGTAGGAAGAATGGGAGATATCGTTCAAAAGCCTGCGAATTTGGCCGTAGACCATTAGCGAAATCATCTCTTCCGATAGTACAAAATTCACATTCTGGAGAAGTATCTGTACTCTGACAAAAGCCACTGTCTGTTGAGTTATACTTGCAACAAGACCCAGGCAAACTTGTCCAATCAAAGAAATCATCCAACCACGAATTAGAACTTGCTGCTATATATGTGACATTGCTATAACGTGACGCTAAAAATATTTGAGTTACAAGTGAATCATCGTAGCATAATTGACCTCCACACACAGCATTTTGGTGATTTGTGTCTGTAAAATTTAAGCCACTTTTTAAAACGAAATACACTGGGGGCCCGAGCCGCAAAAGTTTATTCACTGCCTGCAAATATCTGTATACGTAGGAATCCGGAGGTAAGGATAATTCTTGATCTAATCCTATTTCTATTTGCGGTATTAGAATAATGCTTATGGAAAGCATTGTTACAAAAATGATTGCAACCACAATTTTTACTCGCCAATCCAAAATAAACTTGGAGTAGGGTTCCATAAGCCTAGCAGTGACACTACGGTACGGTGTATCAGCGTTTAAAGGATCATTATCAATAAGTATTTTCTTTTGAACGCAACAGAATAGATCAAATCTATTCTGACTTGCCCTTTTGTAATCAATTGATAATATCGCCACCACGGTAGTTATTTGAAAAATAAATAAGAATACTAGAGACAAAGAAGCAAACACAGCAAACGTTACTACTGCAGGAAAATTAGCAAGACTACCTATAGCGAAGCAAGTTATTTGTGTTATCGAAGTAACAAACATAGAAGGGCCAATAGATTTCATCATTTCTGAAAAAATAAACGATCTCTTTTTTGAAAAACTTAAATTTTCATTATAACCATCATACTCTTTTAAATTTGTTTGTATATCATGAAGTGTATTAACCATTAAGAAAACATTATCTATTCCTACAGATAAAATAAAGAAAGGTATAACGTTAATTGCCAGTAGTGTTGCTGTAATATTAGCGTAGCCCATCACACCCATGGCACAATATATAGAAGCTACCACTACTATTATACAAGATATTGCTACTGTAATTTTGCTGTCAATCAACCAAGTTCTACAGTATCTAATGTTACCTAGAGCAGCTATAACGTATATAAACATAAGTATATAACTCACAGCAATTGGTAAAATTTCTGCTCGGGAAACTCGTTCTATTTCGTCCTCTATAGATCTCTCCGCACCGAAAGCTACTTCAACAAAATCAGCCTTCCAGTTGGCTTCATAATCATGCAATAAATCAATAAATTTCTGCTCCCATTCTAAGACTGGTTTTAGATCTTCCTCCAAAAGATAATTATTTATCGGAAAGTTAATAACTAATGTATTTGCACTTAAAAAATTATCACCTTCAAAACCACCAAATGCAATATTTGGCTCCGCACCTCCACCCCACTCTGCTCTGCAGTTAAAACCCAGATAATTATTTAAGCAATTTTGAATGGTATTCAAGTACGTATTGTTATTTATGTTGTTGCGGTCACTGCCGAAATAGATAGAAGCCGACATGGTTACGCACTGCTCAAGTCTTTTTTCACCACCTCTAGAACGAAGAGGTGCATAACAAACATCTTCTAAAACAACACCACCCGTATCTCTACCAATATTTATAATAGCATCTTCAAGTGCTACTAATTCTTTAAGAGCTTCAAGTCTAAAGGCGGGACCATATGTCACATTATCTACTTCAAATGATTCCAAGCCGGTTATTTTCAAGTATACTTGACTAGCGCGATAAAATGGCCCAAATCTTGAATTGAAATAGTTTAATTCAGCACGGCTTCGAGAGTCTGGTGCGGACCAGAGTTCAAGAGGTTTCGCAGTTAGATTTAGATTTAGAACTCCAAATAACATAGCGAACGCTATCCATGAAGTAACCATAATAATAAGAACAGGATTATTGGCTGAAAATACTCCTATTGCAGCAAATAAATCTTGGAAGAAGATTATTAAGATATTGTCTGCTGTTTTATTTTTACTACTCTTATTTTCAGTTTGATTACTTCGAATTCTTTTATATTCCAATAAAGTCAAAATACAGAAAATAGTAATGCCAATGACAAAAACTACTATTCCTATTGAGAATCCAATGCAATTTACAGAAAGAACAGTGCAAAAATCAGGTAGCACTGGTTCATTGCCTGTTGGACATGTTTCGAGGCAGTCAACACAGCTGCAAGGTAGGTCGTTTTCAAATGTTTCATAGCATGGGAGAGCACGAGCATTCATTG